CATATTAATTTTGAGTTTATCATTTACAAATTAACACTTGTGTTTCTAAATATGACAGTTTCTGTAGTCTGCTATATTATAGAAAAGAAGCAGCAGTAGTAGGTAATCAACACATTTTTGCTTTCATTCATCCAAATTGAAATGATTCTTGTAAAAGTAAAATCTATAAATAGTGATTATTTACAAGATTCAAAAAATTGCATTTTTTAAATAAGTATTTAAATTTCCTACTTCCATAAGATATTTAATATATCATTTTTTTTTCTAATTGAAGTGATATACAGATTCATATTTCAAAACTTGCTATCATATTTTAATGTTGACCTGTTGGAAAATTATTGTACATTCCATTTTTACATAGATAAATATAAAAATTATCAGATATTAACACAAAATGAAAGTTGAAATAATACTTAAAAAATTATTAAAAACAAATTATAATGCTAGAATTTTTACACTGTACATAATGTTTTTAATATTAATTAATTTCCTCTGACTATATTATGAAAATATAAATGAAACTTGTGATTTAAACATTGCATAATCTCTCTTTTCATATATGGTCAACTTTGTATAGCTCTTTAGGACTAAATTGACAAATGAAAACCAATTTTTCAGAGCTAAATAAGTTTAAACTTGAGAAAAAAAAAGGATGTGATGCTCTGTAATTTTACTAATAATTTCTGTTCAGAAGCATACAAATGTGATAGCTGATGAGTTTATCTTGTTAATTAAGTCTGATTCTAGGTTGTTACTTTCTTTAATGTTGTATAGACTTAATCACATTAAACTGTTATAAGTAATAGCATTTTTATATATATATATATATATATATATAAAATATGAGAATTAGAAAAACTTCATGCAAACTGTGAAACCAAACTGTTACAGGTACAACATCTAGACATGTGCTATCAATTGTTAATTAAGAGCAGATGGTGATTAGAAATTCAAATGTTATGCAAAATAAAATTGCATCATGCATTGTAGGAAAATTTAGGAATTAATTGAGGTTTTATATATATATATATATATATATATGGGAAACTTTTACAACAGAATTTATACATGGCTTTGAAAATGACAGAATGTGTTCTGTGATTTTCAAAGCTATATATATATATATATATATATATATATATATATGTAAGTTTTCAGACATAGTTTGTAGGACTTCACTTTTGGCAAAGTAACCAAGTTTGTGCAGTTCTAAATATTTTTTTTTTTTTTTACTGGATAAATTGGAACAGATTGTAGTTGAGGAAAAAGAAAAGATATCTATCATTTGTTTTATTATACAAGTTGGTGTGGAAGGGATAGCAATCACTTTAACACATGCAAAAAGTATGTTTGGTTAATTGTATTGCTTCACAATTGATTTATTTTTTCATTTCAGCTTTCGTGAGTTTATAACCCAGAAATTCAACCTTTATCAAAACATTTTTGCCCCGTTTTTTAATAGCGGAACAAAAATAAAGTCACGGTAATTATGAAGGTTAACTTGTTAGTCCCCAAAAGCTCAAGTCTGGCACATACTTTCTTTCACACACACACACACACACACACACACTCAAAGAATCTGTTTGGATGACTGTATCCAAACATCTAACGTATAATCAAAAAAATAAAAACCATCTTTTTTTTTTTTTTTTTTTAACTGTATGCTATTCAAATTATTCAAACTAATGTCCTCATTAGTCCAAATGTAGATCATGTAAATAACTTTCCATTTCAATACCTATCAAATAAATAAGAAGCTAAAGATATTAAATCTAGGAAATATAATTTGGTTCTAGACTTTTGACTCTCTGTGTATTCGTGTGTATTTCTCTTATATATATTTAAAATATTTAAACTTTTACATGGGCTTAGTTACAGAAATATTGTTTATATAAGGGAATTTATGTAGCGGATGGGTGTGTTATCTTAAAGCAGTAACACTTTCACATAATATCTTTGACACCCATATACTAACTATGCTTATTAATCTCTAACAGTTAATGTCTACCATAGTCGCTTGGTATCCATAAATTAGTTTTTAGTCTTTTGTTATTGTCTATTTAAAAAAATAAATAAATAAATAATAGGTATGAGAATTCAAGCAAGTTATTTTTCCTTTTCTAACATGGAAGTCCCAAAAGAATATTTTGGGAAAGGAGTTTAAACTGATAGCTGAGACCAAAATAACTTTTGAGTTTATAAATGAATTTTGGAGATTTAATTTTTTATACACAGCCTCTTTTGCTTGCATTACACAGTACAGAAATAAGAGAACATCAAAAGACTAAACAGTGTTGCTATTATCAAAAGTGTTCATATAAGACTTAAATTATAATAAATAGTGTACAAGTTTATAAGACTTGGAATATATAATGAGATACAGTGCTAGTATGTAAATCCAAGTCTTTGATAGAGATGATGTTTTAAGTCTTGAAGAACTTTCACTGCTCAACCATCATCAAAAATTCAATGATAAATTTCATTTATAACCTTCAATGTCATCATTATGCAAATTTCCTTTCTTTTGAATTATTATAAATTAATATTTTTGTATGAAATAAAAGATGAAACAAAGTAAATTCTGTAATGTGAATTGTAATATCTCTTGTTATATAAGTAGGTATAACGTAAATTGTAGATTTTGTGAGCTAATAGTTACTGTTTTTGTTGTAGATGATTGATTTGTCAATCAAAAATCCACTCTTTCTTGAGTTTGGCGAATAGGAATTAAGTCTACTAGATCAGAGCTCCAGGATTCTGATATAGATTTTTGAAAGAGTAATATTTTGTATTGAAATCTTAAATTATGATAAATAGAATGTTTGTTGCACATTTGAACTTTCAGTCTTCGATTCTGTTTCTTTTATGATTCAAGTTTCATGCTTCTGAGGAAAGAGTTTGCAATTTAATATAATTTTCTTCAATTAGTTTTTAATTAGTTCAAATTTTATTCAATTTAACTGTACATTTAAAAAAAAAAAAAAAAAAAAAAAAAAAGAATTTTTACAGTTCAAATCTTTTCTATTATTCACATTTCTAAAATTGATATTTAAAAGCAAATTAATGAATGAGTAGTGCCATATATAGAAACAAGTATTTTATAATTTAGTTTAATTTATGGAGCTATACACAGTTCTATTTCTTTAAAATGTTACCATTATATTCTATTTCTAACTTCACCAATCAAAACTTATGATAAGATTGACATTGTAATGTGTACTATATCAGTTTCTTCTTATTAGTACATACTTATTCTAATTTTAAATATACTTAACCCTAAAAGCCAATTTCTTATCAAATATCTTGAAAATCTATTTTTTCATGACCAATTTCTTCCTAAAATTATCAGTAATGAAAATATTTGCTCAGTCCATCACATAACATTTGATGGATAATGATTTATTTTTTTCTAAATAACCTTCAATAATTTATTAAAATCTAAGTTTATAATTTCTCTTACTGACAATTTGAGCAATTCTTTTGGCTTTCATGATACATTGTTACTTTTCATACTAACCACTGTTATCTTCTGGTTACTGCTCGGTAATTAGTAACAAAATTGTTAAGCTAACTCCACTCATCATTATTATCAATTATTTTTTTTAATTAAGCTTCCTATGCTAGCATTATATTTGCTCTTGTGGCTTTAAATATTTGAGTTATGTTGTTCAAATTTTGTTTTTTATTTTATTTTTATTTTTTTAATCCCATGTGAATTGTCATCTTTCTTCTCTACCATCAATGTATTTGCCTTTCTTCTCTATCAGACAGCTGTTGCTTCTCTCTCTTTTTGAAATATTTTTTCTCAGAAATTACAAATATTTTTAATGTTAGTGTGTAATCATTGAAAATCAAAGTAAACCCTTAGATATAATTTTAGTACAAAGATGTATGCATGTTTTTTTATTAGATAGATCCTTTCCATTGCGTCTTTCCATAAGTTCCAAACAGATGAACCTATATTCATTTATCCTCAATAAACCGGATCTAAAAATTGCTCTGATAAATTTCATGTAGGATAATTCAAGATCCTTTAAATGCTATCAGCCACAATTGTAAAAATCAAAAAAACTATTGAACCATCCACTTGACTTTATGGTGGATTAAATGAGTATTTCACTCATTACTGAGAAAAGGTTCTTATTGGTTGAAATGGTTAAGGAAGTAGTTCCACATCTCAGTAAATATGAACATTTTTTTTCCAAATATAAAAAGGAGCCACATAAATGCTGGTCATTTCATTGAAACAATTGCCACATCATCATTGGATGCTTGTGTGAATCCTCCAACTTTTATTTGTGAGAATATGAATTAAAGAATAAAATTATTTATTGTATTAAAAAAAAGTTTGGTCTTATATATTGATCTAAAATAATAAAATAATTCTAAAGATAGCAATTCTGATTGGTAAAAAAAAATAATAAGTATTAATCTGCATTTTAAACAACTTTTTGACTAAAATTTATTTCGTAAATATTTTGTCATCTAATGACTCTTAAAGATAAGTAAATGAATTGAATCATTTGCTTTGTTTTTATTCTTTCATCTATAAAGTATTTACTTGATTGAATAAAGCATTTCTGACTTGAGTTCATGTAGATAAGGTGTTGAAGCATTTGATGTTTGTCTCTTAAAATATTTCATTTGATAAAAAGATTTTCTTGTTTTTATTTTTCTATCACAACAATCCTCCACTTTTGACTTGTAAATTTAAAAGTAAAATAAAATTGGCTTGTATAGTAAGTTTTTAGTTTTAAATTCTTATCTATGTAGAATGAATGTGCTATACTTGAATCTTTTTTTGCTTTTCTACCATTATTTTTGACTTTTATTACTATTTATCAACTGACTTTTGAATTATTTATTCACCATAAATTTATCACTGTTGCATGAAACTGGTAATATTTATGTTTGTCAAATAGAACTCGTTTTGGGCACAACTTTACTCACAAACATTTCAAAATTAAATAATTTCTCAAAAATATTTAATCCCTTTTCAGTTTTATTTTTTCTTTTCCTTATTTCTTTTTCTTTTTCTTTTCTCTTTTTCTTTTTTTTTTTTCTTTTTTCTTTTTTTCTTTTTGTCTTTTTTCTCTTTTTGTCTTTTTTCTTTTTTTGTCTTTTTTCTTTTTTCTCTTTTTTTTTTTTTTTTTTCTTTTTTTTCTTTTCTTTTCTTTTCTTTTTTTTTTTTTTTTTTCTTTTTCTTTTCTTTTTCTCTTTTTCTTCTTTTTCTTTTCTCTATTTTTTCCTCTTTCTTCTCTTTTTTTTTTTTTCTCTTTTTCTCTCTTTCTTTTTTTTTTTTTCTCTTTTTCTTTTCTTTTTCTCTTTTTTCTCTTTCCCTTTCTTTTTTTCTTTCTTTTTCCTTTTTTTTTTTTTTCTCTCTTTTTTCGCTTTTTTCTTTTCTCTCTTTCTCTTTTTCTTCCTTTTCTCTTTTCGCTTTCTTTCGCTTTTTCTCTTTTCGCTTTCTTTCGCTTTTTCTCTTTTCGCTTTCTTTCGCTTTTTCTCTTTTCGCTTTCTTTCGCTTTTCTCTTTTTCCTTTTAAGCTTTTTTTCTTTCTTTTTTTCTCTTTTTCTTTCTTTCGCTTTCTTTTCGCTTTTCTCTTTTTCTCTTTTTTTTTTTCTCTTTTCTTTTTTTTCTCTTTTCTTTCTTTTTTCTCTTTTTCTCTTTTCTCTTTTTCTCTTTTTCTCTTTCTTTTCTTTTTCTTCTTTTCTCTTTTCTCTTTTTCTTTCTTCTCTTTTCTTTCTTCTCTTTTCTTTTTTCTCTTTTCTTTCTTTCTCTTTTCTTTCTTCTCTTCTTTTCTTTCTTTCTCTTTTCTTTCTTCTCTTTTCTTTCTTCTCTTTTCTTTCTTCTCTTTTCTTTCTTCTCTTTTCTTTCTTCTCTTTTCTTTCTTCTCTTTTCTTTCTTCTCTTTTCTTTCTTCTCTTTTCTTTCTTCTCTTTTCTTTCTCTTCTTTTCTTTCTCTTCTTTTCTTTCTCTTCTTTTCTTTCTCTTCTTTTCTTTCTCTTCTTTTCTTTCTCTTCTTTTCTTTTTCTCTTTTCTTTCTCTTCTTTTTCTCTTTTCTTTCTCTTCTTTCTCTTTTCTTTTTCTTCTTTCTCTTTTCTTTCTTTTTCTCTTTTCTTTCTCTTTTTTCTCTCTTTTTTCTTTTTTCTCTCTCTTTTCTTTTTTCTCTCTCTCCTCTTAATTCAATCAAAACCAGATTCATTTTCAGTTGTCTCCTCTGATACCTGACCAGCATTATCATACTTGGCTATTTTTTTTTTTTTGCCTTCTGTTTGTGTGTATAAAATGTACACACATCTTTGTAATTTATGCACAGTTTTTCATTTTTTTTAATTTTATCATTTTGTCACTTTTTATTTATTTGATGCTTTTAAGTTTTTCATTTTTTTTTTTTTTTTTTTTTTATTATATATTTTTTTATTTATATTGAGTAAATATTTTCCTTGTAAAATTTTTAAAGCAAACCAGTCCTGGCCAAGAAGACAAAAACAGCCCCTCTAGAGATTGGCCATGGAAACAGTTTACCACAGGGTATGATTGGGCGTTCAGCTTCTGATGCCAGCTCCCCTTACTTCAAGAGTCTCACAACAAGCATGACACTTGACCGGAGACCTAATGCAAAGAGAAACTCTGGGGTTTCATTTCCAAAGGGGTCCAGTGTATCCCCTGTCACAGCAACACCAAATATTGCCACACCCTTCTGTTCTATCAATGTCAGTGAAGCGACATCGGACATTTTGCAGTCAAATGAAAAAACAAAGAAATCCTCCAAATTGTCTAGAATAGCACTCCTCAGCTCACTTTTTGAAAAGAAGGGTTCATCTGAAAAGGAATTATTGGAGGAAAAGCCAAAGACGAAGAAACAGACCTTCCTGAAGAAGTTCACTAGCGGGTATAAGATTTTGCACGTTTTAATTCAGCATCCCCATTTGGAGTTCTTTGTCATAAGGATAACTAAATTCTTCCAACTTTGATGTCTTACTAAGTAATCCCTGACATTTTGTTTTTTGTTTTTTTTTAAGTCAGTGGAAATTATAAGAATGCTACATTTTGGTCTTGGCTTTTTAGATTTAGAACCGTTTCTTGAGTTCAGCAGTTATTGATAGTTTTTTTTTTTTTTTTACTAATGTGTGAAACACTGAAGAATTGTAAGCCTGCTTAACAATACAAGTTTTCTTAAATAGCTTTTCCTTTCTTTTCAATCTTCAACTTTATTTTTGTCTTCACATTTCGGCAATTTGAAATTTTGAAACCTTTTCAATTGTTAAGCTAGTTTTACATAAGATTATTTCTAATAATAATTTTTTTAATAAACAAAAAAAAATAACTTGTTAATGTAACTGCTTGGATTGTACCATAAATTAAGTGGCTGTTGCTCTTGTAATAAGTTATATGTGGGCTTACTAAAAAGATACAAATAAGTTGTTTAATGATTAATGAAAATTCTAAGTAATAGCTACTTGACTCTAAAGAAACGGTAAACTAACACCAATTTTTGACTGATTAAAATGTCTATAGAGTAAATATTTGAAAATCTTTTCAACATCCGAGTTGGAAATCACCAATTGACTACTTGAATTTGATTCTTGCAGTTTGGATGCTAATTCCTTGGCTTGCTATTATTATTACTACTACTACTACTACTACTACTATTGTAACTGCTTCACTACTTATCGTGTAAGCAGTGATGGTTCTGGTTTGTTTCAAGATATTCAACTCATCATTTGACCCTGTCCCTTAGATGCAAAATAAGTAAATAGTGACAAGAACAACCAATAATAATGATAGGAAAGTAACAGTAATGTAACAATAATAACCTTAATGATGAATGGCCATGGTTGAACCTTACCCCCCCCCCCCCGCTGCTACTGCTGCTTATTAGAATTTGACTCCCACTTTTATTTTTGTTTTTTATTGCTGTGGTTCCAGTCATTGTTATTGTGTTAAGACTAATATTTTTTACTGTTATAAGCCATTTAGCTTTGTTTATGGTCTTTGTTTTCCTTTTTTTCCTTTGCTTTTTATCATTTATTAGAGGTGTTTTTTTTTTTTCATCTTTATTTTTCTTTTCAATAATTTAATATAATTTATTTTCTTTTTTGAATAACGCAGTTGAAAAAATATTAAATACCATATTCTTTTTCAGATTTTTTTTTTCCACCAGTTTATATAGCTCTCCTGCACCCCCCAAAAGTTTATTTCAAATTTCAATATTTAATGATGATAATTATACAAGAAAAAAAATTATATATATTGCTTAAATCACAAAGATACAAATTCACTCAAATTGTTTTTTTCTTTTTTCTTGCTTTTTTGTTTTGTTTTGTATGCAACCTATTACGCCAACTGACAAAAATAGATTCTATTTTACAGATGATATAGAATTGAAACTTAAAGAAATAATCTAGATTGTTTTTTTTTTTTTGTTTGTTTGTTTTTTTTAGTTTTATTTTTAATTTTATTTTTAATTTAGATTTTGTTTATCTTGTTAAGTGTGTACATAAAAATCATTCACTGGAGTACAAAAATATATTGACATATTCTATTTTCTCAGACACAAATAAAGTTATCCTTGGCATTGTATAAGTTTTTATTTGGGATAAGCAAACAACTTTGTAACTTCTTGACTGCCAATTTTGAAAGGTAGAAATATTGGCTAAGGTTTATGAATCAGAAAATATCTTTGAAAATATTTTATAAAATGACTCTATATATATATATATATATATATATATATATATATATATATATATATATATATAATCATACTCACATTACTTCACTTTGTTTGAGGGGATGCTGAAAAGTTTTTGGTCTAACCCATTTTCAAAAATCTGTTCAAATTATAACCAACATTGGAATTTTTTTTAATTGATGAGACCAAAATCTTTTCATTAGCTTCTCATACAAATTTTCTACTGACTCTATTCATATTTAATTGTTATAGAATAAATCTGTAGGAATGCTCTGAACTTTCAGAACACATTTTGAACAACTATTGAGTTTTTCTAATTACAGTTCAATTTAATTAAACATTGAAATTCATTGTATTGAAAGTCCAGCTGGAGTTCATTATTCATTTTTAACATAGTGATATTAGTAAATACCTAAAAGGATATTTTTAATTGGTTGGATGAAACTTAGAAAATTAGATTTTGTAGGCAAAATACCCTAAGTACTGTTAGTTTCAATATGAAATATAAACTATTCTGTTTTTTTTTTTTTCTTTTTTTTTTAAAACTAGTGAATGTCATTGACACTAGTGTCATCTCCAGAAATTCTCTTTGTTATTCTACACTTATCTATATAACCTGCTCTGTTTGCTCCATTTGAGAACAAAAATGCACATTGCATTTAAGTTTTGTGATTGAGCTAATGACACACTTAATACACATAAACTGATTTATATAAACCAGAAACAGTTTTCATTTTCTGTAAGACAATGAACAATCTTATTAATGGAAATGTACTCTATTTTTGGGAACTCTTTATCTCAAGATAGTTATATCAAAAATTTTACTTTTAAAGCCATTCAAATTATAAACTATACAGCAAAGCATTTTTTCCTTTTAAGTTGTTGAAAATATGTACCTTTAGTCATTAAGTGTCATTAGCATTTGACCATATTTTTTTTCTTGAAGAATACTCAGCTATTTTGTTCTCAAGTGCTTTGATTGCATTATCTCTGATCAGCAAAATGGTATTGATTTTTTTTCTCAAATTATGGATGAGCTGAAGGTGAATAGAAAAAGAAAAAAATGAATCTTTTCAGATTTATTTCAAGAAATTAAAAATTAACTGCATTTTTCTAAGCTGAAAAACATCTGCTTCTAACATTTCTTTGTCTGCTTTAATTCATATCAGATTTAAATTGAGAATTCAATGTATTTCTTACATAATAATGTCTTAGGTCAAACTCCACTTGTTCTATTCACTTCTTATTCTATTTGGTTTTGTTTGGAGTTTTTTTTTTTTTTTTTTTTTTTTTAAGTATATATCTAAGGCATTATTTCAAGATTCCTTTTAAGTTAAATCTATTATACTCTGTGTATGTAAAGTGATTTGCAAATCAATTTTAAAGTATCACAGATTAATATTTCTCTCTAAATGGTTTAATTGTGACCTCTTAGCCATTCTCTTTGTCAAACAACCCAAACATTCATAGAATGATTTTTAAAATCTGAAGAGATACTCTGTTTTGAAAATAATTAAGCTTAAGCAAAAAGCTCACAAACACTTCAGTTTTTAATATCTTTGTATATATAAATATGTGTATGCATGTGTTTGTAAGAAATTATATACCATGTGACTGCATCTCTCATGAAACGGTGAAAAGGATGCTAATTCAGAAGTTAAAAAAATACTTTTAAAACAATGTAAAATATAAATATTACTGTTTCTTATCTGATAATGTATTGGAACAATATGTAGTTTATTATTATAGGATCCGATAAGGTCCAGTATGTTTATAACTTTTGATAGCTACCAGAAAATGTTTAGCAACAAGGGATTTCTTTTTTTTTGTATAGATTTTATTTTTAAAGTGTAATAAAATTGTACTATTAGGTAAAAGTGACATCTATTTCTTTAATTGCAAATATTTTTTATTTATTTAGAAAGATATTCATTCTGTTTTGTCTATTTTTGTTTTTTGTATTTCCTCCCTATGTCGGATTATTGTATAATAAAGTCTCTTTAGTCCAAGTTAGGATTTGGCTTCCTTACTTCATAGTCTCCAACTTCCAGTGCAAACAAAGCTTACTAAGCCTAGTATGAAATAAGTGGCCATTTAAAACTAGAATTAATCAGTAGTCAGTCATCTCTGTAACTCTCCTGATTCCTAAGCATTATATCTATTAATCATTTTAATAATTTTTGGAACTGCTAAGTATTAAAGTAGAAGGTGAATAGACCTATGGCTTCATACCAGATTTTGATTCAGTAAGGGTTGTTTTCATTCATTGATTACTTCCTTGAGAGTAATTCCTTGTCTTGAATTTGATATAGAAATATGTATGAAAGAAAAATTGATGGTCTCTGGCTATATTTAAACAGTGTTTTAGTAATCACAATAGTGTTATTAATACTATTTCATAAAAAATATTCCCAATTTTTGTATCATTTGTGTATATTTGCATCTCATTTTAGCTTTTAAGTAACCAGATTTAATTTTTTGAATAC